TTGGAGAGGGCATGGCAACCCACTCCAGTATTCTTGCCTGGAGAATCCCATGGACAGAGGAGCCTGGTGGCTACAGTCCATGTAGTCACAAAGAGTCAGACAGGACTGAGTGACTAAGCACAGCACAGCATATTATGTGAATAAAAGAGAGGCAAGGAATGGTATTTATCCTACCAATAGCTTTTATTTACACTTTTTTCTATATGGAGTTCAGATCCTTTTGAGATTATAAAATTTAAGAGATTTTCAGGAGGGGTTAGAGAAAATGCTTATTCTTTTTTTTTTTTTTTAATGCTTATTCTTAAACAGAGGTATAGTTGAACTTATTTTCTGACTTAAGTAAAAGCAAATGTTAAAACCCAATGCAATTTTCTAGTGTTACTTATCACAAGCTGGAATCAAGATTGACAGGAGAAATATCAATAGCCTCAGATATGCAGATGACACCACCCTTATGGCAGAAAGTGAAGAAGAACTAAAGAGCTTCTTGATGAAAGTGAAAGAGGAGAGTGAAAAAGTTGGCTTAAAGCTCAACATTCAGAAAACTAAGATCATGGCATCTGGTCCCATCACTTCAAAGCAAAGAGATGGGGAAACAGTGGAAAGAGTGACAGACTTTATTTTGGGGGGCTCCAAAATCACTGCAGATGGTGACTGCAACCATGAAATTAAAAGATGCTTGCTGCTTGGAAGAAAAGCTATGAGCAACCTAGACAGCATATTAAAAAACAGAGACATTACTTTGCCAACAAAGGTCCATCTAGTCAAAGCTATGGGATTTCCAGTAGTCATCTATGAATGTGAGAGTTGGACTATAAAGAAAGCTGAGCACCAAAGAATTGATGCTTTTGAACTTTTGTGTTGGAGAAGACTCTTGAGAGTCCGTTAGACTGCAAGGAGATCCAACCAGTCCATCCTAAAGGAAATCAGTCCTGAATATTCATTGGAAGGACTGATGTTGAAGCTGAAACTCCAATACTTTGGCCACCTGATGCGAAGAACTGACTCATTTGAAAAGACCCTGATGCTGGGAAAGATTGAAGGTGGGAGGAGAAGGGGATGACAGAGGATGAAATGGTTGGATGGCTTCACCGACTCAATGGACATTAGTTTGGGTAAACTCTAGGAGTTGGTGATAGACTGGGAGGCCTGGCGTGCTGCAGTCCAGGGGGGTCACAAAGAGTCCTACACAGCTGAGCAACGGAACTGAACTCATCCTCTTTTTTTTCTTCCAAATTTACTTCAATTGAATAGGGCCCCATTTAAATATGTGAAAATGTTTCCATAATATTAGGTAGAAAGCATGGCATGCTTATTTCATTAAAAAAAATGTTAATAGCATAAATTATAAACCCTTCCAGCAATGCCTATTTTAAAAGGTAACATGTTAAAGATATCTAAGTAGAGACCATTTTGCAATTTCCCATGAAACAATAATAATGGGTGAAAACAAGATGTTACTCAGCTCTTTGACACAATACCCTCATGCCCCATTTGCCAAGCTCGGTGTGCATGCTCAGTCACTCAGTGATGTGTGACTCTTTGTTGTCCCCAGAATGTAGCCCTCTAGGCTCCTCTGTCCATGGAATTCTCAGGCAAGAATCCTGGAGTGGATTGCCATTTCCTTCTCCAGGGGATCTTCCCCACTCAGGGATCGAACCCACGTTTCTTGCATCTTCTGCATTGGCTGATGGATCCTTTACCATTGTGCCGCCTGGGAAATCCAATTCCTTGAGGAGAGAAAGAGAATGTTTTAATCTCTGGCACAACTACTAGAAGCTAGCTACTCTCTTATGTTGGCATTTTGGCCACTACCTGTAAAAGAATACTGAGTGGAAAGCCTGCAGCAATGACTAAGAAAGGAGTGAGCATGGTCACTTGGGGGATGTGTGTTCTGATCTCGGTGGCATCACTCAATATTATGCAGCTTTTCCGATCCTCCTTTCTTTCCTCTGTGAAATGAAGCCCCAGGGAACGCGTCGGTGGCAGTATTTGGATCAGGATACAAATTTCTGCTTCTCCATTTTGTGTACTTCTCTTTTGTGACTCAGCCTAATCCTTTCAGGGAAGTATTCAAACCACATCTGCCTGACTCTCCTGCCAGTTTCCTTCAAACACCATCGTTGGCTGAGTCAGCCTCCTGTCGTCCTACTGAAAGCCATAAGGTTTACATTCTCACTTTTTTGATTAAAACATATCTTGGCTAGACAAAGAACTTCTCACTTTGCTGTTCTGACGCCTTGTGCAGACTGCCCTGCTCTTGTACTGAAGACTCTTAAAGGTCTTCCCAAGACAAAATTCACAACAGTTACACATGACCTTTTGCACTTGGGACTTCTTCAGTGGAATCCAGAGCCTGATCATGAATGCTTTAAAGGCAGTATGAAGTTAGGATACGGATGGTGGCTGGTTTATGGATGTCTGATTGTATTTTTAATATTGGAGCTGGCAATTGGAAGTAGTCATAACAGCTAGAATAACTGGAATTATCCCATTTTCCTACTCTTTAAGCTTGGTTTATCCTTTTTCTCCTATTCCTTCAACTTTTGTAAATTCAGATTTTTGCCCAAGCCAAGCGTAGACCCCTTTTTTCCTTCTTGCTCTAATGTAGGCCCTAGGTGGACCCATCCACCCACGTCCTGATGATGCAAAATGTGAAGATAACCCAGCCTCAGCACTCATCTCCCTAGTGTCATCTCCAGTTCTCTTCCCCCACAAGAGTTGTTCAAAGATGTAGATCATGCTTCATATTCTGTAGATCACATGCAAGCTTGTATACAACACACAGGCTAGTTATAGTCAATATTATGAATGGGTGCTACTCTGAAATTTTAATGACCCTCAGTCACAAATGGTGGGCCTCAGTCAATATCATTATGATCCATGTAGCTTTATATTCTATATTGACATCCTGCATGTATGCTCTACATGTTCACTTATTTAAGTGAAATGAGAATGAGTGTCTTCCAGCTTATACTCATATTGTTGTTGATAGTGTGGATAATAATAATGATAATAAATGTCAGACCATCTCAAAAGGGTTATGAGCTTGTTTTAGGAATAGAGAGTGTGATGAAGACCTTCATGATGGTATTCCACTGTACAGTAGGCTAGGCCAAGTGGAAAGACCTCCCGAGCAAAGGAAGTACAAATATCCAAGCTTGTGTCTGCAGGCTTCACAGAACAGATGATAGAGTGGAGGATCTGTCTTGATCTCCTTAAGATACTCTCTCTTTAATGCAACCTCTAAGTGAGCTATGCCCAATAACAAAAAAAAAAAAGGAACTTTAGTGTTGATAAACTTTTTGGCAATGTCTGTGTGTTTGAGAGAGAGAGTGACAGAGAATATGAATGAATGAATATTAGGTGTGGATGAAGGAGAAGTTTGTATTCCTGACAGCCTAGTGAGAAACTCAGGGCATATTTTCCTAAATAATCCCTGTCAGAGAGCAGTGTGATTTAGGAATGTTATTTGTTAAAGGATATGAGAAACTGCATTCCACCTTCTAAGATGGTATTAGAAGTGATCAAATCTTTGTTCCATGACTTATTGGAATTAGGCTCCTCTGTCCTTGGGGATTCTCCAGGCAAGAATACTGGAGTGGGTTCTATGCCCTCCTCCAGGGGATCTTCCCAACCCAGGGATGGAACCCAGGTCTCCTGCATTACGGGTGGATTCTTTGCCATCTGAGCCACTGGGGAAGCCCACCATAAATATAAAGCATACATATACTATACAGTCCGTGGAATTCTCTAGGCCAGAATACTGGAGTGGGTAGCTGTTCCTTTCTCCAGGGGATCTTCCCAACCCAGGGATCGAACCCAAGTTTCCGGCATTGCAGGCGGATTCTTTACCAGCTGAGCCACCAGGCAAGCCCCAAAAAGCAGTGTGATTTAGGTATGTTATTTGTTAAGGGATTATTTTATGAGAAACTGCATCCTACCTTCCAAGGTTGTATTAGAAGTGATCAAATCTTTGGAACATGGTATATTGGAGAGTTAGATTCTGTGAAGTACTTTTTTTAAAAAAATTAGGCAATATTGTAAAAGCAGTGTGTAGCTGAAGCAACAAAAGTGATAACTTGCTTTGGTAAGATTTTTCATACATGTTAGAAAAAGAAACAACTAGAAATCTAATCTTGCAAACGGAATAACTTTTTAAGCAGAGAATTTAAAAATGTGGTATAAAAGAGGCCCAAGTTTAAAGTTTTCAGAATGCAGTCAAGTTTACAATAATGAGCCTTTCTGCTTCTCTGCCTTGTTTGGTAGAGTTGGGGTAGTCTTCCTGGGAGGTAATGTCTGTGTCCTAAAGTCAGAGAGAGAATAGCTAGTGTTTAAAAACAAAAGGAATTTTTAAGGAGAGCACGGCAGGTGGAAACAGAAACCTTGCTTTCTTGATGAAAGTTTTCGAAAGAAGAGATGAGTGACAGAGCAAGAGCGCAAGCCAGTTTGGCCGAGGGCAGACTGGACGGCCGCCGTAACTGGAAAAGAGAGAGCGGCCCAGACTCCTGTCGATCCGCTGTGTGTGCCCTGTGCTCTAGCCGCTGCCACACTCTCTTCTTCCCTTTTTAATGTTCTTTATTATGGTCTCTCTGTCCCTTTTTGGCCTCTCATCTTCCCTCTGCCTTTCTATGCCTTTGTTCTCCCCCCTGGTGCTTTTATCTAATTCCTCAATGTTTTCATTTATATTTTACAAAGACATTACAAATTGTAGGATGAGAAAAGCTTTGTTTTTTAAGCCCCTTGATGTAAAGCAATAGGGATTTTTCAGTAAAAAAAAATAATAATATAGAAAGATGGGAAATTTTGGTACATTTAGTAGCTCTGTGTATTTCTGAATGTCTGTGGAACATAGAAGCCCTAGTGAATGAGAGTTTCCTGAAAACATTATTTTTCATTAATAGTATGCTGTACAGCATTTTAGCTGTTGTGTGAAGTAGCTTTTAGGCAGTCAGTTAACCTTGACAATAATATGTAACCACGTGTTCTTTTTCTTACAGCTGCACCTTTTACGAGTCTACCTGTCCAGGAAGAAATTACCACAAAGTACTCTAACCTTTCTTTGGAGAGTCATAACATCTCAGTGACTGGTAAATGCATCGTGTTTCTAATAATTTACTAACCAGATAATTTTTTATGTTTAATTAAGCCACTGTATTTTCCTATGGAGTACTGATCTCTCCTCACAGTCTGGAGGAAGAAACACACCAGCACCTAATAGAGCTGTAATGCAGCGTGATGAGAGTCGAATGTGAGGAGGGCAGTGTGCCCCAGTGCAAGGAGGCACAGGCAGTGCAGCTGGGACGGTTAAGGAAGCCTCTCTAGAAGGAGCACACCTGGGGGGAGGGGAGGGTTCATGTTAATTTGCGGATATGCTTCTGTAGTCTTCACACCTTGCTGGTACAGCCATTTAAGTCACTCTGCCTTGAGAGGGGAATTTATGTATCTCCTGGAAAAACGTTAGTCAGAAAGATCAAAGATGTTATCTATGAGTCAGGGACAGTGCTGTGGGAAAAACCAGTGAAGAATCCTGAAACAAAATGCAGGTCTGCTTTTCCTCACAGTTTTGGATTCCAGTGTTTTAAAAGTAATCTAAGACTTTAAATTAATCTAAGACTTTACATCTAAGACTTGTAGTTAAATGACTAAGAGTAGTTATCTGTTTTAGTAACAATATTAGAAGTATAATTAGAATTCTAAAACCTGCTTATGAAGTCACTGATAAGTTTTATCCAAGTGTATGTCCAGTCTTTAACTGTCCTCTAGTCTTAAGAACGGTTTCTCTGTCTCTGTTTAATATGAGTAAAAGGCGTGCCCTCCCTGGAATCTGATACCACTGGAATGTTCGCAGTGAGGTTTCTGACAGAAGAGCATCTCTGTGACTTTGTGCCGCTCCTGTTTGTTTCCGGATGTCCCCATTCTAGTGTCTGGAGTGTGTTCCTTCCTGTGAAAAGGGCTCACCACACTCTTGTGTTGCTGCTTGTTGTTTGCCTTTCACAGGTTCTAGTGGTTGCTTTCCTTTGTTAGGGCGGAGTGTTTCTTTAAGAGAGATTTATGTAAGGACATAAGCTTGCAAATCTGTTCATTAACCTGGTAATGCTGGCAGGAGACGCCCCTCATGTATCCTGTATAGCTGGAGCTCAGTGAAAAAAGGATCAGGTGCCCACTGAAAGAGTGAAAAGTGGACTTTTCGTTGATGTCAGGCTGATTATTTACTCACTTAACCTGTTTGGAGGGTTTCACTGCTAACCGCTCTTTTGTTCTGATAACTGCTATTAAAACCAGTGTTCCTACAGTATCCAAGAGAGCAGGTGTTCACAACTGTCCATCACTCACTGTCTGCTTTGGGGCTTCCCTGCTGGCTCAGATGGTAAAGAATCTGCCTGCAATGCAGGAGACCCAGGTTTGATCTCTGGGTTAGGAAGATCCCTTGGAGAAGGACTGGCATCCCACTCCAATATTCTTGCCTGAGTTTTCCATGGACAGAGGAGCCTGGTGGTCTACAGTCCATGGGGTCACAAAAGAGTCGGACATGACTGAGCAACTAATACAACACCTGTCTACCTTGGCCTGATCAAACTTGAGTCATGCTTTTTTCTTCCTCTCAGATACCTGGACTTTGGCTTGCCCCCAGTCTGTGCAAGCAGTAAATGCATTACACCATTCCAATGGTGCTGTCTGCTTTTACCACTGGGTAAAAGCTTCATTTCTTCTCAACAGTTCCTTCCAGCCCTCTTATCCTATCTTATAAAGTGTTTTTCTTCTATTTGACATTGAGATGCCTGTAGATCCAAAGCTTGCAGTATTTCCCCTATTGCAGTGGACATTTGGAATACAGTTGTTCCTTATTTAAGTCTGGATTTGATTTTACTCAAAAAAAAAAAAAAATGACCTTAACTTTGGGTTTCCCTTGTGGCTCAGCTGGTAAAGAATCCACCTGCAATGCAGACCTGGGTTTGATTCCTGGGCCGGGAAGATCCCCTGGAGAAGGGAAAGGCTACCCACTCAGTATTCTGGCCTAGAGAATTCCACAGACTGTATTACAGTCCATGGGGTCGCAAAGAGTTGGACACAACTGACCGACCTTCACTTCACTGACCTACCTTCAGTTTCACTTTTGTTTGAAACACAGCGTCTCTGAGCTGTGACCCTTTTCATCATAGGCTGTTGTTCTGGTTGCCTTTCCATCTAAAAGTTTGGTTTTAGGAACTGCTTTTATTGAAATATAGAATTTAAATCTGAAGGTGTACTTAAGTTTATTAGGAACCATAGGCTTTCTTCTCAGAGAAGGCACCCCGCTCCAGTACTCTTGCCTGGAAAATCCCATGGACGGAGGAGCCTGGTAGGCTGCAGTCCATGAGGTCACAAAGAGTTGGACACGACTGAGCGACTTCACTTTCACTTTTCACTTTCATGCATTGGAGAAAGCAATGGCAACCCACTCCAGTGTTCTTGCCTGGAGAATCCCAGGGATGGGGGAGCCTGGTGGGCTGCCGTCTAGGTCGCACAGAGTCGGACACGACTGATGTGACTTAGCAGCAGCAGCAGGCTTTCTTCTTCTTATTATCACTAGGATTTTTAAGGTACTTCATAAAGAGAATGTTTTCATGTATTTTCACCTTGTTTATTTGAATTGTGCTTAACAACATTTCTGTTTTGTTGCTTATTATTTTTTCTTTTCCTCTGGCCTTTTTAACAGTTCATCTCTTTTGGGACAAAATGTCTCTTGTAGAGAGATCTAAATGTGGACACTGGTTGCAGAGTGGACCCCAGTCCATAGCATACTGACTCACAGATGCTTGAGACTGAGAAACAGGTCCTGTGCCTTGGAGAGTGAACAGCATGACCTTTGAGTCATGATAGCAAATTGTCTACTGGTTTTATGTTTTAAAAATATTGCTAGTAATTTACCTAACAGATACAAGGTAATGTCTAGGTGCCAGGTGTGTATTTTTACACATAACTGAGCTTAAACCTCATAAGAACCCTAAGCAATAGATATTGCTACTATTTGCAACTTGCTCATGAGGAAAAAGAAGCACTGAGAGACCAAGTGAGCTGACCACAGTCACAGGTGGTAAGTTGGGAGTTTGATTTTCAAACCAGACTCTCTGGCACCAGGGGCTCTACTATTAACCATTATACTATGCACGCAGCCTTTCTTTTTTTTTTTTTGTATGCAACCTTTCTTAATGCCCAGTTACTCATTTCTTTCAACAGAGTTCCTAATATAATTATACCTATTTTAAGGAAACTTAGCTTTGTTTTTGAGACTATGGAAACAGTTTCAAAACCAATGAAAACGAGGGTATTTTAATTGCTTCTTGCTCAATAGGTTTGTCTTGGAAATTGTGCTTGCTAAGATAGTGGATATATTTGTAAAAGTATAACTGACTTGACTAAGAATAAGGTATGCTTTTTTTCCAGTTGTCTGATACCACTGGGTTTCAAAATTGATCTTTTAACAATGGACTATTTTTATATCACTGTGCTAGTTTTCCCAGTGTCAATATTCGGAAGTCATTGTTTGCATTACAGCAATCAGAATGTTTCTTTATTGTTTTATTTTTTTCTTTCTCTGTGTATGTTATGGTGATTGGTGTCTCCATCCGTGTGTTACAGTTTAACCAAAGAGGTTACAATCAAAACATCTGCTGGCAGTTTTCTTGACTACCCTGGTAATGTTGGCATAGGCTGTCCCCACTGGCACATTTTATTTACCATTTTAAGATGTGATTAGCTGTCCTGGCAAGGACCTGATGAAACAGGGAGGTAGACAAAGCAGGCATTGGAGGTACAGATGAGTATATTAAAGCATAGAGTAAAATTGGGGAAGATTAGTCCAGGTAGGGAAAGGCAGCCATGTTGTTTAGACCAGATAGGCAGGAAGTCTGGGTTAGAACTCAGATTCCAGGTTCAAGTGACTGGTCAGTGAGTTTGAGAAAATGTAAAGAACTGATGTTGAAGCTGAAACTCCAAGATTTTGGCCACCTGATGCGAAGAGCTGACTCATTTGAAAATACCCTGATGCTGGGACAGATTGAGGGCAGGAGGAGAAGGGGACGACAGAGGACGAGATGGTGGATGGCATCACCGACACAATGAACATGGGTGTGGGTGGACGCTGGGAGTTGGTGATGGACAGGGAGTTACTAAAAATAGATCAAAGGTTTGCATATGTGCAGAGCTACAGGCACAGATGTTTTAAATTCCTCCACTTAAGATCAGTAAAGCATTACCCTAGCACCCAACATGATTAAGATCAATAGAACATTAACTAGTAGAAAACAGGCTTCAAGCATGATGAGTTTATCAGCACCAGGAAAACAGGCGAAAGGTCACCGGGGTGTTTTTTCCCTGAAGGGGACAAATGCCAGTCTATACTTTAACAAGAAGGGGTGGCAGGACAAAGAGAGACCCTTTGTTCTCTCTTAGGGCCGTAAGGGGCCTATATGTTCAGGCCGGCTCCCTGCAGCTCCCCCTTTTCTTTAAACTATTGGCAATTATATCTCCCTCAGGGGAACCCGTTGTGCCTGTAAATGAGAAACATCAACAATTCCACAAACCCATCGGGTATTGTTAGGAGTTAACTCATCTTATACCAGGATTATTGTTCCAGTCTGACCCAGGCCACACAGAGGACTTATTAGTATCAAACGTCACATCTATCACAATTTTACATTTGTAGGTAAGTAACAGTCCCATATGTTTCATCAGGTTTCCTGGGAGAGTTCAGCCTTCAAATGTTGGTATGAGTCTTTTGCTCCCAGCAAATGTTGGCAGGGATCAGCAGCTGTGTAGCTGTCCTTTTTCAGGGGTCATCCAGAAACATACATCCCAAACTTGATAATAATCACCTTCAAATCAGTCAGGAGCACTGGGGGAAAGCGTGATTAATTACTGCACATGCTAATGTAAGAACAATATAGGACAGAGCAGATCGGGGTTGAGCAGTGTCAGCGGCCATCCTTCTTGCTTGTAAGATGAACTCATGCATCTGCTGAGCTGTCGGGAATGCATTTCTCTGCTGTAGAGACAGCCGACTCATTTGCTGATTCAGTGATCTTCTCCGTCTGGCATACCAGCCTTT